AAGAAATTTAATTACAGAAGAAAATTCCTAAAATAAAGATTTTTAAACTACATTTGTGTTGCTAAAAAATAGACACCCAATGTGACATTATACCTCTTATTTCCTAATAAGTGCTATAGATAATTGTTTCAAATTATTTTCTAGCTAAGATAGGTTAGAGGAAACCTTAGAATGCTAACATCTAGTACTTTTTTATTAAAATCTATTGTTTAAGTATATTATATATATTTAAATTTTTTTTTGTTTTTTGAGATTTATTTTTTAAATTATATTAAAGAATGTGTATGTCTTTATAAAGATAGTTAGTTATTAAGATAGAATTCTATTTAAAAAATTATTTTCTATTTAAAAAAAGTATAAATATATTATATTTTATAAATTATATTTACAGTATATGTAATTAGTGTTGCTTGAATATCTTCTTTATTCAAAATGATAGTTGCTAAAAAATTTTTTAGAATATGGCAACTTAGTAAAGTAACAAGTTGTTACTTTTCTAAGTAGCAGGTTGAAAGTTCAAAATCTACTAATAGATTTTTATTTGTATTATAATAACTGTTTCTAATAATTAAATTAAAATATTTGTAATGATCATAACTAGCAAGTTATAAAGCATTTGTAGAACTAATTATACAAAAGAATGCAAAGCAGTATTAGATAATGCAAATTTAAGATAAGTTCTTGTAATCATGTAAATCTATTAAAATTAAAAAATAAAAAGTCTATTTAGAAAGACTTAATAAAAAGATAAACAGATTTTTAACAGTATTACTATAAAAGTTAAATCTAAAAAATAAATATTAATATAAAAAAACAAAATAAACAAAAACCTCTAGATGAAGAATATTACTAACCAGATTATTAAAATTTTAACTAAGAGAACTAAAGAAAAAGTATATCAGACTAATCTAATATATAATAAACAAAAACTCTCTTTCTCTTTCTACTCACATTTAGTAGTAGAGAAAAAAAATAAAACAAAAACAATTAAACCTTTATTAAAATCTATTAGAAACTATACCACAAGAGCTAAATCTCTTGTGCTGAAGAAAAGAAAGTATCCACACACTAACATGCTACTTTCTCTCTTTACTAAGTCATCTGAAACACCTGTGTTCTACAAGAAAATCAGAACTTCTAACACTTATGAAGAAGAAACTAGTTTAAGCTCAGGCCCTTCTAAGAGCTTATCAGAACAAACTAAAGCTCAAGTTTTAAATAGCCAAGAACCAAAAGCTTTATCAACACAAAAAGCACAAGAAGCACATATAGTAACAGACTTAAAAGTCAGCAAAGCATTAAACAAAAAAAATACTGATTCTGTAAAAAATGATGATGCTTTGTTTACATCTGCTGACAACACATACACAGAAGTAACAAAACAAACCAAACACATGTCTCATAATAGCAACTCAGTTACATCTCAATTAGAAATTACAACCAACCAATCAAAACCAAGGCAATGGTCTGATCTTTTTTCTAAGTTGAAAAAAGGAAAAGCCACCTACTCTATATTCTCTCATAAAAAAAGAATCTACACTAAAAATAAAAATGCTTTAATTTTTGAAATACAAAATTTAGAAAATATATTTACAGCAGACATAGTTGAAGCAATGGCAAAAAAATTAGGTGACAGTCTTATAACAGTAAGACCAGTAGTTACCAAAGGCAGAAGAACTCATTTAGAAGTTATTTTTTCTAATAAGGACCAGCAACAGTATTATGCAGCAGAAGGAATCTCAATCTTTAAGCAGTTCCTTCAGGGTTATATTTCTGTTAATATTAGATGAAGCTTTCTTTCAGTAAGAATCAGAAATACACCAATGGGTAAAAAAGATCTTATCTCTGAAAAAATCAAAGAAGCTTTTCAAGACATAGACACAATCTTCTTTATCAAACCTTTAGTATACAAAGGCACTTCAGTTCTTTCAAATCAATGGGTAGTTATTTTTAAAACTACAGATGACTCAGACCTAGCAAATAGAATTCCTAGATATATACATGTTTGGAACCACAAAGTAGTTATGGACTGAAAAGAGACTCCAAAGCTATGCTACTTTAGTAGAACTTAGAGCTATGCAAAAAGCATGCAGATTACAAAGATCCCAAAACAAAATCACCAAGTACCAAACCTTCAAGTTAGAAGACTTTATGCAGATAACCTTATATTAAAAATAATAATAACATAGATGCTAACAAAGTTAATGAGCAAATCTTAGCAGATATGAATCTGGATAGTCATATCAATATAGATCAGCCTTAGATTAAAACTGAGACAGCTGAAAAAGAACCAACTGAAGATACTCCAAAGGAACTAACCAATTCCTTAATAGAAAATCATTCCATAGATACCAACATGATAGTAAATTCACTGACCACCCTCTATAGTGATTCCAAGATTGCTAAATCCTCTTTCATCAGCAATGATGACAATAAATTCCAATTGGTGGTGTCAAAAAAAAAACACAAAGGTAAAGAAAAGTATTGAATGCAGAAAGAAACAAAGTTATAAGTCTGGATTCTAAAAAGAATCCTGGTCTCAGAACCAAAAAACCTTAATCTAACTTATCAATCTTCAATTTTTTAATATTAATGGTTAAACATATTACAATTGCAACACTTAATATTAAAGGTTTGAACAATTCAGAAAAAGCATAAAAAACACTGACTTTACTTAAATCATATCAATTAAATATAATTATATTATAAGAAACAAATTTAAAAAACAATAACACAAGGAATTTTCTCTCGCAACAATGGGGATATAGCTCTTACTGGTCCTTCAAGACAGCAATATTAGCAGAAAACAGAAACATTTTATTTGAAAACATTATAGAATCTCAAAATGGCCATGTTATTACAGCAACTTTCTTATACAAAAACTAACCATTTCTCTTAAACAATGTTTATGCACTACCAAATATAGAAGATAAGCTCAAATTCTTCAATAGCTGGGTTCTTTTAAGATATGACAGATGCATTAATATTTTGGCTAGATCCTTTAACATGAATCTGAATCCACAAAAAGATCACATCAGTCATGCACCTATTACTTATGACCCTACAAGAAATCTTCTTAAAGAACTTACAATGAAGTTTACAGATACTGCATCACTGTCTGAAAATGATTATTCATTTTTAACCTATTATCAAAACACTCATGCAGGTCACAGAATGGCTACAAGGCTTGATTACATCTTTATAGATAGTGATCATAGTAGCTATTGTAAAAATATAACAATGCAATTTGGCAATTCTGATCATTTAATAGTAAAATGTAAAATACACCTCTCACTAGAAAACCCTAAAGCAAAACAATGGAGATTTTGCAAAAATAGCTAGAATAATAATCTGCTAAAAAAAGAAGTAATTGAAGAACTCCAAAGCATTACTGATTTTTCAAAATGGAACCTTTGCAGATGCAGAATACAATCTATAATTAGAGCATTCAGGCCTAATTCTGCTCCAGAAAAGAAGATTCAAAGACTTCAAAAACAACTTTCAAAGCTAAATAAGAAAGCCACTAATAAAGAGAATCCAATAGCAGCTCTATCACAGATAGAAAATGTTAACCAACAGCTTCAAGATAAGCTTTAGCTGCTCTCAGAAAAATGGCAAACAAGATCAAATACCAAATGGATTGAAGATGGAAAGTCAAGAAACTCAATTTCAGCAAAAGACAAAATTCAAGCTCCTAATAATAACAACTCCAAAGACTCAGCTGCTACTCTACAATTTATAAAGAAAACATATCAAAATATTTACAAAGTGGAGGCAATTGACAAGAACTTAATGAACTATTTTTTCCAAAATCTTCAAAAAGTAACTAAATCACAAAACCAATTACTTATAAAACTTATTTCTGAGAAAGAAGTTAGAAATGTTATTAGCCCTTTTTCAAATAACAAAGCTCAACAGATTTGCATACACTCTTTCCAGACCACATGCATTTGAAAGTAGAGTGAAACTAACCAGAAAAATAAACTACAACAACAAGACAACCAATCTTAAAAAAGGTTTTAAAGCAAGAGCACTTGCCCTTGTTACAAGAAAAAGATCTTTTAAAGCTTTTAACGGTACAAAAAGCTTTGGCACTATGGCAAAAAAATGAAAAACAACAACAAATACTGATAAGAAAAACACCAAAAATGAGAAGCCTATACAAGTAGAAAGCAATAACTTAGGTTCACTAGAACATATCAACAAAAGCAACCCTAGCTGGATGAACAAGTAGCTCAAGAAACTAAGGAACTCAAGGAAATAACAAATACACAGAAAGAAGAACTTAAAGAAAATAAAACATATATAACAAAAGAGAAAATCTTATCAATAGAAAGAAATGACAACACAGAAACACTTTTAGAACAAAACAACAATATTTCTACACATAATGAAGAGGTTATTGAAGTCAATACATGTAATAAAGAACATCCAAACAACAACACATGACAATGAGGTTTCCGAGACTAATACAGGTAACAAAAACAATATGAAAACAACAACTCAAAATGAACCAAGGAATGAACAAGAGAACTCCACTTTGGAAAGAAATACAACTTCTAGCTCCAGTAGAATAACTGAACCACTAACAAAAAAATAGTCAAGTCTCTTTTCCAAACTTAAAAGAGGCTAGTCAACTTACTCATTCTTTTCTTCTAGGAACACAATTAAATTAAAGAATGAAAATGCTCTCATTATTGATATACAAAGCCTATAATGCTCTTTTAATGAAATTATGTCATTTTTATTCGAAACAGCTAAAAATGACATCATCACAGCTAAACAATATCTTACTAAAGGAACACGATCACATTTAGAAATTATCTTTACAGACAAAGAAAAACTAAAGATCTATGCAACAAAAGGCATTAAAATTTTCAACAGAATATATTTTGGATATGTTCCAATAGATATGAGAAAATCATTCTTGCCAGTCAAAATTAGGAATGTCCCACTAGGCAACAAAGAAGAACTGTCAGACTCAATTAAAGATGCTTTTGAGAATATAGATAAAATAGCATCGATTAAACCTCTGTTAATCGAAGGTACACCATACCTAACAGATCAGTAGGTTATAATTTTCGAGACCACAGAGGATCTATTTTTAGAAGGCAAAATACCAAGATTTATCCATATTTAGAATAACAAGGTCACAACAGAATGGAAGGCAGCAGCAAAAGTATGTTACTTCTGTAAAAAAGAAGGGTATATTAAAAAGGAATGCCAGCTATTTCAGGAATTTGTAGAATATCAAGACTTTAAAAAAAGAATTGAATCATATAGCAAAGAAAAATCAGCTAATATTAGGCCAGAACAAGAACTCCATGAAGGTAGTTCTGCTAACAAAAAAGAAAACCTATACTTGCAAGATGATGTGTCTATTATAAATGGTGTGAGCTTACAAAAAAATGATATAACACAAGATAAACAAAAGAGACCTTTGTCACCTTTAATAGAAATAGACAATGATAAAAGAAACTCTACACCAAGTAAAGATAAGAACCTCTCATCTGACCCAATATCAGCACTATGTGATGAACTGGCTGCACTGTATCTTAATACAGAACTACAGACAGAAAACAAAAACACAAAAGAAACATCACCTATAATGGAAGTTGACAATGAGAAGACCTCTATGCCATCTCATAAAAAAGACAAAGATAAAAAAGAAAAGAGCTTACAGAATAAGAACCAATTAAGGCCTAGCCCTTACAGGAAACAACGTAATGAGGGACTGCCCTCACAGACCTAATTGGTCAAAATTCTTGTACATTTATATGCCTCTAAAATTCAAACTTAAAATCACAACTTTGAATATAAAAGGACTAAATGACTGAGGCAAACAGCAAAAAACATTAACAC